AAATCCCTATATAGTATATACACTTCGCATGTGGCATCAAAAGCGCAATTCTAGTACGGAAATATATATTCATAAACAACATAAGCTTTTATTTCAACCATATGTACAGTAGATTCAAGCTCCCAGGCCCAACCAAATACCGTAGATATTTTAATGGGCTCGGCCCCTACTCGGGCCTATAACTGACCAGATTAGGGAGATGCATGGACTGAAGCTTCTATATGTCCTTAGCAGTCACCTTGCACGATTCCAGTGTAAGACCGTCTCCAACCGAGCGGCAAAACCAAAAAAATGGGGCAAAATCTCTCCAATGGTACTGCAAACTCAAACTCAAAATGGGTTTTTGAGTTTCTCTCTCCTGATTTTGACGCAAATTTGCGTTCCTGCAAAAGAAATGCGTTTGTACTTCTATTATTCCAATTCAGTCCTTCTTTTTAATTTTAATTACACAAAGGGTTTAAAAAAAAAATGAAATTTGTATGTGGAATGCGGAAACTGGAAGGGACAGATGGGTGATGTTTAAATAATGTTATGGCATTAAAGTTTTATTTGTATCAAGTATCAATATTTTAGTAAAAAAATATATAATAAATTGAAATAATATAATTTTTGTATAGTATAATATTTATAAACATTTTATGTATGTGTATATATTATATTCAGTATTAGTAATTATTGTCAAGTTAAATATTGTTTTATTTATTTTTTATTATTAAATATTAGTATATTTCTAAAAGAAAAAAATTTACAAACAATATGAATAGTGTGGTTTAATTTGTAAAGTTGTAAAATATGTGGGTAGTATTAAAAAGTTGTAAAAGTTGATGTGAAAAAATATTCCAAGAATATTCTTTTGAGTTTGAAAAAGAGTTTTTCGGTTGGAGATGAATTACTGCAAAATGTGACAGTTACTGCAAAATGGGTTTGAGTATGGGGTTTTCGGTTGGAGATGGCCTAAGTGACTTGAGACTTTTCAGCGTCTTGACGTGCTGAAGGCCCGCACAAGTTACACGAGAATTCTGACACGTTTAGAGGCAAAAGTTGCGTGACTCCTGCATTTATTCGCAATTCACATTATTTATATTTTCGTGTTTTCCTTCACTAATTCAGCTTAAATGTCTACACTCTCTTTGGCAGCTCGATACAACTCCAAAAAAATGCTACTACTGATGAAAAAGTTAAGAGAGGGGACTAAAATGTAATTTAGACTCCAAGCTCTTATCTGTGAGGTGGCTGTTCTGAGAGAGGTTCAAGAGTGTTAAGGATGTAAGATACTCATACGAGTTTGTATTAATTCAATAGTGAAAAATTCTATTTGCATTAATTAATCTTAACATGCATTTCATTAATAGAAATAAATAAAAATATTCCTAAAGCCCAACGTCTAAACGTGTACAAAATTACCCTCAATACGGCCCATCAACACTTTAAGTAACTATAAATAAATGAGGAAATTACACCCCCCACGATCCCACAGCATTTTTATTACATATAAACTACTCAACTATATTATTTAGCAAAAGTGCCTAACCTAACTATTTTATTTGTAATCCTACTAGCATCAGTTTCTTTGTTTTGAATTTTTAATTAAGGATGAGTTATGTTTTATTTGGATAGTGGCGGATTTAGTGGGATTTGGTTAGGAAGTTTAAAACAAATTTATTCCTTTCTCTCTCCTCCATTCATAGTTCTCATCCGAACTATTTTCTTCTTCACATCCTCTCATTTCCATGGACGACTACAAATCGCCAACCGCCTTTTCTTCTCCTTCGGCGTCTTTTTTATTTTCTTTTCCTTCTGCAAAAATAGACACTAAACAAGATTCTGATTTTTTTTCAAGGCGAATAAAATCGACATGGACGAGTTGAGTCTCGACGAGAACTTCGTTGAAAGTGAGAGATGGAGTTTCAAAATCCTGGTTGGCGGCCGCTGGTGAAGGAGCATTCAAGCCGGAGATGCGTTGGATCCCTACAGTTCTTTTTTGGGTGGACAGCAGCGACTTCAAGCGGCGTGCACAGAAGATAGTACAGCCCTTTTTCGGTGACGGAGGGTGAGTTGAGGAGGGAGGAATAGGTGGCGGGGTCGGGGGGCGTCCATGGCGGCGGAGGATAACGATTGAAGATAGATTTCCAATTCTCTTTCTCTGTCAGCCATTTTTTTATTTTTCCATTTTCCATTCACAGGGGTTGGAACTGCATATGAATGATCCAGTCCATCCCAAGCCCAAACCAGTATATGTTACACAAAATATACTTTAAATATACACTCGAGTTTCAATCGTTTCTCAAATATACACAAAATATACTTTAAATATACACTCGAGTTTCAATCGTTTCTCAAAATCGATTTCAGAACCCACATATACATAAAATATACCTAAGATATACACTCGAGATCACGTACATGAGACGAGCAGACAAGAAGGTCTCAGGCGATGGTTGAGCAGGTCCAATTGGTTATCTTTTCTTAAATATGGAATATGAAATCAAGATCTGTAACTGATTTTTAGGCAACAATATAATTAATTACTAGCTATTAGGTACATACACAATTAATTGTGTATTAATGGTAATTTTGCAATATTCCTACAATCGTGTAGGATAAGTGAAAATGTCCCTAAATAAATTGTATTATAAATTATTAGTTGAAGCCCAACTAAACACCGCCACGGGTCGGGACTCGCGCCAGTCTTGATAAAAAAATCTGATACTAGTAAGATAGAGTCTGCTCAGATCGAATAAACGATAAACACCTAACCCTAAACCCTCTATCGCCTCTACTCACCGGCGACCACCCCTCGAGCCGGAGACCACCAGTCACCGAATTCGGAGACCACATCGAGCCCCGGGAAGCTTAGGCGCCGTTTTTCCCAAAATTCCGACGAACCCCGGCGATCCTCGGCTTCAGTCCGCCACTCGTTAGGGCCGGGTAATTACTGAAACTGAAACTGAAACTGAAATGTGAATTTGAACGATGTAGCCTTTTAATTTGCATACATTTTGTGGCCTTCTGTAACATGAAATTTTGACGTGTTAAATTGTTGATTGCTGCTCATTCTTTTGTGTATTGTACTGTGTCGAAATGAGGTATGTGGCTTTGCAGTTTTGTGTGTAATGATAATGTAAAAATGAGAACATATAAAATGTGAATTTCACACAAACTATTTTATACAAACATTTTTTCAATGTTCTGAAATCGGGTTAAGGGTGATAGGCAGCACACTAAAGTGGTTCTTCTAGGCCCTTGACCGACTAGACGGCTGCGAAGTTGGTCACAGTGCTCTAGGTGCTACCTAAGCGCCATTTTGTTTTAATTGGCAGCTTTTGTTTTTAATTTTGCATAAATAAAGAGCCACTTGAAAATGATCTTTCAAGTGATCCACATTGCCCTCTTGACTCGATTTCCCAATCTTCTTCATTTGACGGATTTCTTCGCACAATTCGAACGCCGATCTAAAAAACCCTTCCTTTTCACATTCTCCGATCATCAAGATCTTTTCTTTTCCGCTCATCTCCGAAAGGTTCTCCTCTCTGTTTATAAAAACCAACTACTCAACCGGTAACAGTAGTTCTGCAATTCCCGGTCCTGAAGCACAATCCCTTATCCGATTATGAGAGATTTTTTTTACCAGAGCATTTGAAATTACAGAAAAATAGAAGAAAGCTATAATCAAGAATCAAGATTTACTGTCGAAAGTTCGCACCGCCATCCCCGCCGAGCCTTAAACCTTCAACCTTCTTGCCCTTACGTCGAAGTGTTTATTTTCTCTAGTATCTAGCCCGAAGTCGTACATGTAACTCCTAATTGTGTTGTAATAATTACCCATTTTTTTTACTTCAAATTGGATTTTATGGTTACCCACAAACAATAATAGCAACATACCCAGTATATTCCCAACAGGTTGGGGTCTGGGGGGTCAGTTGTACGCAGACCTTACCCTTGTAATTATACAAGGAGGCTGTTTCCGTAGCGACCCAAGGTGCATTGCGCCGTTTGATATATTTTTTTTCTAGAAACTTCACTAATAGAAGAATCACTAGAATTTAATTGAGCCATTTTGATCTAGTCCATTATTAGCACTATGCCAGGAGAATTGTCAACAATGACTCGTCCAGCTCCATTTGCAATGGACAAAGATTTTATGGTTACCGATTCTTGTATATTCTCAGGCTGGCTTAGATTGGGCCATTGCTTATCTGCAGCTTATTCTGGAATCAGTTTAGAAAAAAAAAATAAATCAAACTTGCCTTGTTATATGCATTTTTGTAGTTTGCTCAGTCTCTCCTAAACTGTAATTTGGGCTCGAATTTTCAGGAAATGATGGAAGAAGATGATGATTACGTCGAGTACGTCCCTGTGGCCAAACGGCGTGCCCTCGAAGCCCAGAAAATCCTCATGCGCAAGGGCAAATTGTCCACAGTTGAGGAGGAGATCGAGAAACAGAAACAAGCTGAGGCCAAGCCAAGCCTGCTGGTCAAAGCCTCCCAGCTCAAGAAAGACCAGCCAGAAATCACCCAAACGGAGCAGATAATCCTCCAGGAAAAGGAAATGATCGAACACTTATCCGATAGGAAAACCCTGATGTCCGTCCGGGAGCTGGCTAAGGGCATCACATACACCGAGCCTCTTGTCACGGGCTGGAAACCGCCTTTGCAAATCCGGAAAATGCCTAAAAAATCTTGTGACACAATCCGAAAGCAGTGGCACATAATTGTGGATGGGGATGATGTTCCCCCACCCATCAAGAATTTCAAGGACATGAGATTTCCCGAGCCCATTTTGAAAAAATTAAAATCGAAGGGGATTGTGCAGCCGACCCCCATTCAGGTGCAGGGCATGCCGGTCATTTTGTCGGGCCGTGACATGATTGGGATCGCATTTACAGGCTCGGGAAAGACTTTGGTGTTTGTATTGCCTTTGATTATGATTGCATTGCAGGAGGAGATTATGATGCCTATTGCTCCTGGGGAGGGCCCATTTGGGTTGATAGTTTGCCCGTCCAGGGAGTTGGCCAGGCAGACTTACGAGGTTGTTGAGCAGTTTCTTGAGCCGATGAAGGAGGCGGGTTACCCGGAGCTGAGGCCTCTGCTTTGCATTGGAGGGGTTGACATGAAGTCGCAGCTCGATGTTGTGAAGAAAGGGGTTCATATTGTAGTTGCTACACCAGGGAGGCTCAAGGATATGCTGGCGAAGAAGAAGATGAATCTTGATAACTGCCGGTAAGGGTTAAACTATACTGTGTGTGTGCACTACTATTTGGTTTTGTGTGTGTGTGTGTGTTCTTACTGTGTGTGTGTGTTTGTGTGTTCTTACTGTGTGTGTGCACTACTATTTGGTTTTGTTGCTGTTGTTCTTGAATGCTGCCTGTTCAATCTGTGTTCAGTGGCAATGGTTGGCCAGATCCGTTTTATACGACAATCAATTTTAAGATACTCACCTTGCTGCTTTCATAATGATTTTCTTTTCCGCCGAGACTGTAACTTGTGAAAGGATTACTATTGTTCTAATTAAGGCATTTAAGATGCAAAAGAGTAGCTTTTCACTACGTGCATAGATGGTGAACCACCACTCAAGTTGAACAATGGAGCAAAATGAAATCTTTCTTGTTTCCCTATCCCCTTTTATTTCAAATATTCACGAAAATTTGCTGTTCTGTTCTCCCCCTAACAGATACCTCACGTTAGACGAAGCTGACCGATTGGTCGACCTGGGATTCGAAGACGACATCCGTGAAGTGTTCGACCACTTCAAGGCCCAACGGCAGACCCTCCTCTTCTCCGCCACAATGCCCACCAAAATCCAAAACTTTGCCCGCAGCGCCCTCGTGAAGCCCGTCACCGTCAATGTGGGCCGGGCCGGCGCCGCCAACCTGGACGTAATCCAAGAAGTCGAGTACGTCAAGCAAGAAGCCAAAATCGTGTACCTCCTCGAGTGCCTCCAGAAAACCCCGCCACCTGTCCTCGTCTTTTGCGAGAACAAAGCTGACGTGGACGATATCCACGAATACCTCCTTTTGAAGGGCGTCGAGGCCGTCGCCATACACGGCGGGAAAGACCAGGAAGAGAGAGAGTACGCAATCGCATCATTTAAGTCGGGCAAGAAAGATGTTCTGGTGGCTACCGACGTTGCCTCAAAGGGGCTCGACTTTCCGGACATACAGCATGTGATTAATTACGACATGCCTGGTGAGATTGAGAATTACGTGCACAGGATTGGGAGGACGGGTAGGTGTGGGAAGACTGGGATTGCTACTACTTTTATAAATAAGAATCAGAGTGAAACGACTTTGCTGGATCTGAAGCACTTGCTGCGGGAGGCGAAGCAGAGGATTCCACCCGTGCTGGCGGAGCTCAATGATCCTGCGGAGGAGGCTGAGGCGATTGCGAGTGCCAGTGGGGTTAAGGGATGTGCTTATTGTGGTGGGTTGGGGCATAGGATTGGGGATTGTCCGAAGCTGGAGCACCAGAAGAGCGTGCAGATCGCGAACTCGAGACGGGATTATTTCGGGTCGGGAGGGTATCGTGG